CTATAATTAATTGGAATTGTAAGTTTGTACACTATTATGATTGTATTTTATACTTCTATAATCACAAATTTCGCCAAGACTACACTATAAAAAATATTAACAAAGACAAACAATATTTAATCTATTCTCAATTTGACCACAGACGTCAAGAACAAAAGTTTGACAATAAATAGTATGCATGCGTGTGTGCGTCAAATACATGGTATGTAGTGTGTGTAATGTTTTCTTTATTGATTTAATGTATTTTTTATGCATTATTTTAAAAAAATATTAGCATTGTGCACTTCTTCTCTATATTCTCTATAAGTGTGGAAAATTTCATACTCCTCCGTCCGCGCAATTTTCGTAAAAAGGGATACAAAGTTTTTGCTTCACGTATTAATATATATAGATACTAATTACAATCGATTCTAATAGGTTTTTTTGTTTGTTAAGAAAACGAAAAACAATCTGAGACGCACATTATATTAATTGTCATGTTGGTAAAAGTAAAGACATTGCCTTGAAAATGTTAACGAAGAATAAGAGTAGTTATGCAAAATTTAATTAATTTTAAAATTGCACAATCTAATAAACCAATGAATTATATACCATGACATGGGGTAAATTGGGATCCTGGGGTAAATTGGGACAAACCTGCGGAAGATTCTCAAAGTACCTGTAGCACGGAATCTACCTAATTTTGTTTATGTTAATATTTATCAATGTATAGAAGAAAAGCCAAGTTAACTATGGAAATACTAAATATGAGTTAAGTTGGTCCCAAAAATTCGTCAAATTAAATTGAAAATAGTGGTTGAAAAGTGCGTTTTAAAACAGCTTAAAGAACTTTTAAAAAAAGTAATATTATCGTTGTTTTTTCAATAAGATCACAGTTTATATAAGTTTTTAATACACCTGGAAATACCACAACAAACGGTAAGTTGCAATATTCTTANTGAACCTGGGAGGAACTGTTAGAACATTGGGGTTATCATGGAATATAGGAGATGATGTGCTACAGTATAATCTTAATTTGCCAGAAGTGCCACTTACCATCACTAAGAGAAGTATACTTGCTGAGATACAACGCTTATTTGATCCACTTGGTTGGATAGCACCTGCCTTGTTACCTGGAAAACTAATAATACAAAGACTATGGTTGAAAAGACTTACCTGGGATGAAGAAGTGGACTCTGAAACTAAAAGAGATTGGTTAGAGATGAGAAACAACTTAAATTATTTAAAGGAAATTAAAATACCACGCTGGTTACTTATTACTAGTGGTGTCATAGAAGATGTGTCAATACATGGATTTTGTGATGCATCAACAATTGCATATGGAGCAGTTGCTTACCTGAGAGTCAAAACTTACAATAATGAATATAAAAGTATGCTGATAGCAGCGAGGACTAGAGTCGCACCTGTTAAACCAGTCTCACTGCCCCGTTTGGAACTGTGCGGTGCAGTGTTATTATCAAATCTCTTGAAACACATCAGTTGTGCTACACGGATACCAAGGAAACAAATCTTTGCTTGGACAGATTCTACCATAGTACTATCATGGCTTACTGGAGACCCGACAAGATGGCAAACATTCGTGAGAAATCGTGTAGTAACAGTGCTTGACAATATTGGAAATGCATGGTATCATGTACAGTCTCAAGACAACCCTGCAGACATAGCATCAAGAGGAATGCTTCTTTCAGATCTCAAAGAATTTAGTTTATGGTGGAACGGCCCTAAATGGCTCACCCATGAAGAAATATTGATGTCTCGCGGAGATAATATTTCTACTGACCTAGAGTTGAGAAGAACAATTATCAATACAAACATAAAAATGGACAATAATCATAATGAAGGAAATTATATACACAATCAATTTGAAAACTTTAACAACTTGATGGAACTACAAAGAACTATTGTGTACTGCAAAAAATTCTTGAATTTTAAACGAAGTAGCGATAACATTAGTACGAAGTGCTTCAGCCCACTGGAGTTAACAGAGGCTCTTGAAACATGTGTGCGTTTAGCACAGCATAATGATTTTGAACATGAAATCCACGATTTGCTACAAGGGACTGGAGTAAGTAATAGAAGTGTACTGAAGAATCTCAATCCTTATCTAGACAAGAAAGGTCTTCTCAGAGTAGGCGGTCGATTACGAAATGCGGAAATGGAAAATGACGCTAAATATCCTATGATCATAAGTCATAAGAACCCCATTGCAACATTGATAGTTAGTGATGCACACTTGAAGACACTTCATGGAGGACTCCAACTCACAATGAATTTTGTTAGATCAAGATTCTGGATCATAAGAGTAAAATCATTAATATCAGCTACAATACATAAATGTTTAATATGTGCAAAGCAGAAGGCTAAGGTCCGACACCAACTCATGGGAGACTTACCTGCAGCACGAGTAACACCCACTCGTCCATTCCTACACTCAGGAGTAGATTTTGCAGGCCCACTACAGATTCTGGTTTCCAGAGGAAGAGGCATGAAATGCACTAAGGGATACATATGTATATTTATATGCATGTCAACTAAAGCAATCCACTTGGAACTGGTTGGAGATTTAAGCACCGAGTCATTTTTAGGATGTTTTAGAAGATTTGTTGCCAGAAGAGGTCGATGCTCCCACATTTGGAGTGATCAAGGTACAAACTTTGTAGGAGCCAGTAAAGAATTAGCTAAAATGTGGCAAGAAGCAAAATTAAGTATACCTGAAGATTTAATAAACATTTTAGCTGAAGATGGAACCCATTGGCACTTTAACCCACCTTATAGCCCAAATTTTGGAGGTTTATGGGAAGCTGGGGTGAAATCTATAAAATATCACTTAAGAAGAATTCTTGATAGAACACTTACCTTTGAAGAGATGTCCACCACACTGTGCCAGATTGAAGCCTGCTTAAACTCACGGCCACTATGTCCAATAGATCATAATGATATTGACAATTTAAATGTACTTACTCCTGGACACTTCCTCATTGGAGAAGCTCCAATCAATGTACCTGAACCAGATCTTAGCCAAGTGAATGTAAACAGACTGTCTAGATGGCAACATACTCAGAGGATACTTCAAAACTTTTGGCATAAATGGAAGACGGAATATCTCACACGTTTACAACAAAGACCTAAATGGTTAACTTTAAAGGATGAGTTTAAAATTGGAGAAGTGGTTCTGATTAAGGAAGATCACCTTCCTC